AAACCACCTGCCGAGACCGCGGCCGTGCAGCCCCAGGACAGAGGGTTGGGAGGGCCGGAGCGTGTCCAGCACGGACACACGGACACCGGCAGGGCTTGGTGCCGATGTGCACCGCACCTTCGGGATGCCGGGTGTCGCAGACATCTTTTCGTGAAAAATCCTTTCCTTAGGATTTTTCCTCCTGAGAAGTTGAGAGGCCTCAGGAACAAAATGTAAACAATGGTTATCTGCTGCTGTGGAATGCAACAGGTGCATCTGTGATTGCTTGTTTTTAATTAACGGCCAATCACAGCACGGCTGGCTCGGACATAGAGCCCGAGCCACAAACCTTTGTTTTCATTAATTCCTTTCTATTCTTAGCTAAGCCTTCTGATGAAACCTTTTCTTCTATTCTTTTAGTATAGTTTTAATATAATATATATCATAAAAGAATAAATCAAGCCTTCTGAAACATGGAGTCAGATCCTCATCTCTTCCCTCATCCTGAGACCCCTGTGAACACGGTCACATGCGGGGCTCCAGGATCCCCGGCAGGGGCTGCGGGGCTTGGGGTGAGCACCACGGGGTCGCTTTTCGGCTGAGCCCGGCTTAGCTGAGCTAAGCTGAGCACGCCAGGGGAGATCCAAACCCCGGGGGATTCCGCCTTACCTGCTCCGGTCATCGGGGGAGTCCTGGAGCCTCGCTGCCGAGGGGAGAAGCCGGGGCTGGGAGAGCCGGAGGCAGGAGGGGATGGGAGGGGATTGGGGGGCGGGGGCTGGGATGGGCTGGGAGCCCAGCCCGGGGAGCTCACCTGCAGCTGGGGGATGAGGGAAGGGCAGCGGTTCTGGTTCCACGGGTGAGGATGAGGAAGGTCGAGGGCTCCGTGCCCTGCCCGGCAGCCGGCCAAGGTAAATGAGGCACGGGGCACGGGCAAGGCTGGCACGGGAGGGATTGGAAGGGCTCCATGAGCGGAAAAGCAGCGGCGGTGGTGTGCAAACAGCGGGGAGGTGTTTGAGGAGCTTTGCGTGGGGAGCAGGCGGTGACAGAGAAGGGATTTGGGAGATGGGCAAGGGACAGGTGGGGATGCCACGGGACAGAGAAACGGCAAACGCTTCCCACAGCGCCTTGTGAGACCTTTCAAGGATGTGAGAACTTGTGAAGTACAAACAATCTGCAGGTGGTGTTTTCTGCTTCGTCTTTCTGTTCTTCTCAAGGACGGCGTGTGAGGAAGGTGTTTTTGTTAACGAGCCAATCGAACAGAATCTATCATTTCACTCTATAAAAACCACGCGGTTCTCTTGAATAAAACCTTATTTTGCTCCTTCTACAGCACTGCCTCCCGCCCGTTCCTGTGTCATTCTCGGCCAAGAGTGACAGGACAGGGCGGGGACAGCTCTGGCGACACCGGGGACAGGAGATCCCGTGCGGCTCCCGTCAGAATCCAGCCTGGAAGCGCCGGCGTTCCAGCCCGGGCCAGTTCCAAACCGGGAGCCCAGGGGCCCTGCAAGGACACAGTTCTCTGGGAATAATTGGGAATTCTTTACCCTCACAGCCCAGTTCTCTGGGAATAGCTGGGAATTCTTTACCCTCAGTGCCCTCAGGACACAGCCCAGTTCTCTAGGAATAGTTGGGAATTCTTTACCCTTAGGACACAGCCCAGTTCTCTGGGAATATCTGGGAATTCTTTACCCTCAGAGCCCTCAGGACACAGCCCAGCCTCTTGGAATAACTGGGAATTCTTTACCCTCAGGACACAGCCCAGTTCTCTGGGAATAGCTGGAAATTCTTTATCCTTAGTGCCCTCAGGACATAGCCAAGCCTCTGGGAATAACTGGGAATTCTTTACCCTCAGGACACAGCCCAACTTCTGAGAATAGCTGGGAATTCTTTACCCTCAGGGGCTCTACAAGGACACACCCAGTTCTCTGGTAATATTTGGGAATTTTTTACCTTCAGGGCCCTCAGGACACAGCCCAGTTCTCTGGGAATAACTGGGAATTCTTTACCCTCAGGACACAGCCCAGACTTTGGGAATATTTGTGAATTCTTTACCCTCAGGGAGCAGCCAGGGGCACAAAGCAGGCGTGGGGGTCACGGTGTGAAGAGGTAGAAGTTTATTGGAATATAAACATTCAGATAACCTGTAAGATAGAAAAAACCCAACAACAACATATACAGACACTTTTTGGAAGGAGACGTTGAGGTATTTATCCACCGCCTAGGCTATCACATTTTGTTTTTATTTACTTATTTTATTATTTTTTTTTCTTCTCTTTTAAATAGGTAAGAAAACTAGTTATAGCAAGGCTGCTGCAGCTGTTTGGAGAGAACGTGTGGCAGGGAGCAGGCACAGCAGCCTCCCCTCAGCCCGCCCACCCTGCTGCCTTCCCCGCAGCCCCGGGGCGGGCTCGGCTGGCTCTGCCCCGCCGAGGGACGAGCTGGGGGCTGCCCGGGGCTGGTGTGAGGAGCTGGGGGAGGATGGAGCACCGCCCATCCATCGGGAACGTCCTGCCGGCAGCATCAAACCCTGAGTACGACACGGGCCCCCCGCTCGGCCTCCCCCCGCTCCGCTGCTGCTGGTTCCAGCACTCCCTGCACCCAAAGCCTGGCAACTCAGCAGGAGACCCGCAGCTCAGGCTGCCAGGGCCAAAGCCAGGCTGAGGGAAAGGGTTAACTCTTCACAGTCTGGATGGTCCTTGTCACCCCCGGGCTGGGAAAAGGACCCGTTTATTGTTGCAGCTTATTTAACTGAGGTATCTGTTACGCTTCCCGACCTGATTCTTTCCCTGAATTGGATACAAAACAATCTGTTAGTCCCTGGCTAGTTCCAGTCTAGGTTGAGTAAAGCTTATAAACATTAATACTCTAGTAGTGTCCAAGCAAGTTCAGTGATTCGAGTGCCTTTCTGTGCAAGAAAACACAACGTTAGCAAGTGAGACAAAGCAGCCCCACCCCGGAGCAGCCTCTGCTCCCCTGGGGCCAGGGAGCAGAGCAGAGGGAAAAGCAGAAAGTGCCCCAGTCCCACTCAGAGGAAACAGCCCAACCCCACCCAAGAATAAAATAAAACCACCAAAAGAAAACCCAAAAAAAGGGGGGGAAAAAAAAAATCATCTGAGTCCCAGAGGCTGGAAAATCCTCTGGGAGTCTGTGAGGATGAAAGGAGCCTGCGGGTCAGGCCGGCTTCCCCTGCTCCCTCTGAGAGCAGCTGGGGACACCTGGAGCAGCATCCTTCCATCCCTCCAGGGCATCGCATCCCCACCTCCCGATCCCAGAGAGCCCTGGGGGCAGGACAGCCCCGGCACAGCGCAGGAAGCAGCAGGAGGGGCTGGGACAAGCACAGATCCAAGGGGCAGCGTCACCCTGTCCTGCTGTCCTGTCCCCTGTCCTGGGATGGGCTCCTGGAGGCTGGGGAAGCCACTGCTGCTCTGCTCAGCCTCGTCTGAACTCCCTGTCTTTGGTGATCCATTAAAAGCCAACAGAAATAAAAGCAAACACAAATTCAGCAAACCCACCTATGAAAACCCCCCCAAAGCGATAGGATATGCCAACACTTCCTGAAGAGGTTAAAAACAACCCAACCCAACACAAACAAAAGCAACCCAACAAAGTACATAGCTGAGGTATTTCATCTGCTCAAAAAACCTGACTCGGGCCTGCAGCACGGGGAGGACGTCACCAGGGCAGGGGGGATGGCAGGGATGGCACCAGGGCATGGGGACAGGGGGACAGCACCAGGCCACCTGAGCAGCTCATTCACAGGGAGCTCTGCTTCCAGCTCCCAGGGCCAGGCAGGGCCGGATTCCCTGGGCCCTGCCCCTCCCTGTACCATGGCAGGGGTTTGTTCAGAGCCACAGATCCCCACATCAACCACCCCACCTGCAGCCTGTGCTCCTGCAGAGCTCCCAGAGCTGCTCCAGGGAGCCTGCACCAACCTGAGGGACCCTGCTATGGGGACAGAGGGGGGACATGGAGCCCCAGCACGCCCTGGCCCTGTGTCACTCCTCAGGGACACTCAGGGCTTGAGGGGTGAGGTGGCAGCAGCCAGAAATGAGCAGCTGATGGTGCCAGAACCGTGGAGAGGAGCAGGAGCCTCCCCTGAGGACATGGGGACACAGCAGGAAGGGACATGAGAAGATTGCCATGGGAGCACAGGGCCAGGCACCCCCTGGCTCTCAGGATTGTCAAAACACGGAGTTGTGGGTGGGAAGAACCCTGGTGGCCCCTGGTTCCAGCAGAACCAGGGTTCCAGAACCAGGGCTCCAGGAGAATCAGGGCTCCAGAACCAGGTCTCCAAGCAGAACCAGGGCTCCAAGCAGAACCAGGATTCCCAGCAGAACCAGGGCTCCAGCAGGACCAGGGTTCCAGAAGGACCAGGGTTCCCACCAGAACCAGGATTCCAGGAGAACCAGGACTCCAGAACCAGGGCTCCAGAACCAGGGCTCCAGGAGAACCAGGGCTCCAGGAGAACCAGGGCTCCAGGAGAACTAGGAACCAGCAGGACCAGGGCTCCAAACCAGGTCTCCAGGAGAATCAGGGCTCCAGAACCAGGGCTCCAGCAGAACCAGGATTCCCAGCAGAGCCAGGATTCCGGAACCAGGGTTCCAGAACCAGGATTCCCAGCAGAACCTGGGTTCCAGGAGAACCAGGATTCCCAGCAGAACCAGGCCTCCAGAACCAGGATTCCCAGCAGAACCTGGGTTCCAGCAGAACCAGGGTTCCAGGAGAACCAGGATTCCCAGCAGAACCAGGCCTCCAGAACCAGGATTCCCAGCAGAACCTGGGTTCCAGCAGAACCAGGGTTCCCAGCAGAACCAGGCCTCCAGAACCAGGATTCCCAGCAGAACCTGGGTTCCAGCAGAACCAGGGCTCCCCTCCCAAGCCCGGGCCCTTTCCCTGCCCTGGTGATGTCCTGGCCAGGAGCTGTGGCCCCAGAGCCATCCCTGATTGAGAAACGCCAGGTGTGCCCCCCTCCTTGGGAACACCACACACCCTGCGAGGAGGAGGAGGAGGAGGAGGAGGAGGAGGAGGAGGAACCAAAGAGCAAAAGGGAGGAAGGAAAGGGGGGAGGAGGGAAAAAAGTCAAAACAAGGCCGGACAAAGAGACGATGAAGTAAAACTCGCTGGCATGGAAAGGTTTCACCACGACCACCACCATCATCATCATCCTCCAGGTGCTGTGCAGCCACGAGAGCAGGTTCCTTGAGGTGAGGTATGTGTGCACTCCTGGGCAGTGCCCGTCACAGGGACCAGCTGGTGGAGGGCTCTGCGCCGGGCGTGCCCCGCGATGAGGTAGGGCTGGGGGAGCAGTGGGAGCTGCTGGAGCTGCTGCTGGAGCTGCTGGAGCTGCTGCTGCACGAGCTCTGCGTGCCCGAGCCGGCCAGGAGCTGCACCACGGGCTTCTGGGCAAACAGCACCCCTGTGGGCACACACAGGGTTAGAGTGGGCAAAGGGGAGGCTTTCCCTGCCCCAGGATGCCATCCCAGAGAGGGTCAGGCTTTCCCAGCCCCAGGATCCCATCCCAGCAAAGACAGGGGTTAGGCTGGCAAAGGGGAGGCTTTTCCAGTGCCAGGATCCCATTCCATTCCATTCCATTCCATTCCATTCCATTCCATTCCATTCCATTCCATTCCATCCTATCCCATTCCATTCCATTCCATCCTATCCCATTCCATTCCATTCCATTCCATTCCATTCCATTCCATTCCATTCCATTCCAGGTCAGGCTTTCCCAGCCCCTGATCAGATCCCATCCCAGCACAGAGAGGGTCAGGCTGGCAAAGGGGAGGCTTTCCCAGCCCCAGGATCCCATCCCAGCACAGAGAGGGTCAGGCTGGCAAAGGGGAGGCTTTCCCAGCCCCAGGATCCCATCCCAGCACCGAGAGGGTCAGGCTGGCAAAGGGGAGGCTTTCCCAGCCCCAGGATCCCATCCCAGCACCGAGAGGGTCAGGCTGGCAAAGGGGAGGCTTTCCCAGCCCCAGGATCCCATCCCAGCACAGAGAGGGTCAGGCTGGCAAAGGGGAGGCTTTCCCAGCCCCAGGATCCCATCCCAGCACAGAGAGGGTCAGGCTGGCAAAGGGGAGGCTTTCCCAGCCCCAGGATCCCATCCCAGCTCAGGGTGGCTGGTCTGGCTCCTGTGCTCAGCTGGAGCCTGCACAGGGATGCTGACCCTAAAGGAAACAGATCCCAAATGGGTTCTGCCTTTGGGGATAAGCAGCTCCCATTTGGGTTAGGGTAAGGCAGAGCCAGGATTCCCACCTGGGATTTGCCCACGGATGCAGAGGCATGGCCTGCAGAAGGGAACTGCTCCAGGGCACAATTCCTGCTGGGAAAGCCGAGCAAAGCCCCTCCTCAGGAGAACAGGGACAATTCTCCTTCCTATGAACGCTTCCACGGGGATTTCAAACCCCTTCCCTCAGATTTTCAAGCACTAACACCAAGGGAAGGGAGCTGCTCCTGCCCAGTCTAGGGAACAAGAATCGCATCCCGCCGCCATTTGGCAGGGACCACCCTCATCCCACCTATTCCAGCCCCTCAGGAGGGCTGTCCCTGGGCTGTCCCTTTCCCAGCAGGGCTCTCACCAGCGTAGGTGGTGCCGTTGATCTCCACGGACATGTTGATGCTGCCGATGCCGTTCGGGGACAGATTCAGCGCCGCCGCCGCCGAGTCTGCCTTGTCTTGTCCCATGGAGGGAGGCAGGGAGGGAGGGGGGCACAGTTAGAGGGCACCGATCCCACTCTCTGCACCCCCGAGGTGGGCACAGCCCCCCTTTGACCCCTCTTTGGGCCCACAGAATGCCCCCATTCCCGGGAGTGGGGCCTGGAGCACCCTGGGATGTGGCAGTGTCCCTGTCCTCGGCTTTGAGGTCCCTTCTAACTCAAAGCATTCCAGGACAAGGCTGCAGAGGTGCTGGAAGGCTTTGGTGAGGCTGGGAGCCCGCTGGCATAGGGAAATGTCTCCCGGAGGGCCATTCCTGTCACAAGGAATGGCTGGGAGCACAGAGATAAACCCGGATTTAAATCCCAGCTGGATTTTGCTGTGCTCGGACTGCAGCGGCTCCAGCGGCCACTGGGGGGAGGGAAAAGCCAGGGAAACTCCATGAAAATCAGGATTTTCCCCAGCCTGGGCAGGGATGGGCAGCTGAACATGGAACTCTTCCAGCTCCACAAGGGTGAGCTTGGATTTTGGGACTGCCCCTCCACAGAGAGCAGCAAGGCAAAAAAAAAAAAAACCCTCTAAAAACTCCACATTGAACCTAAATGTTACCAAGCCATGCTGAGCTTATCAAACCCAGCTCTCAGAGCATCTCCACCTGGTTTTTATGGTGCAGTGGGGAAAAGGAGGGAAAGGAAGATAAGAGAGCCCCTACAAAGGTGGGAATTCCATCCCTGAATCCTCAGCCTGTTCCTGTTTGTAGGGACTGCAATGGTTCCCAGTGTTTGGATTTAGTTCAGGGTGACAGCAGAAGTGAGATGAGGGAATGAACACTCCAGGATAAAATCTGCATTCCCTATCACTGGCTCTTGTGGTTTTGATGTGGGATTTAGTTGGATGCAAGGTGGCCAGGAACTGGGAGCACTGACATCACAGAAATCATTGCTAAGATTCAGGATGAACTGTTTAAATTCAGGCTGGGGAAGAAGCCCAGAAACAAAAACATTTTTAAAAAGTAATACAATCTGAAAAAAGAAACAAGTTCTAAAAAAAGGACTGCTGCTTGGGAGGAACCTGCTTTGACCTTTCCCACCCATATTTGTGGCCAGGCACCTCAAACCAGCACTGCTGGAGCAAGAACAGCTCTTCCCTTGCTTCCAAGCTGGGCCAAACTTGACCAGCTTGGAGTTCTGGGAAGGTCACAGAATTGACAGAATCACCAGGTTGGAAGAGACCTTCAAGGTCATCAATCCAACCCAGCCCCAACACCTCACCTAAACCCTGGCACCCAGTGCCACATCCAGGCTTTGTTACACTCAGGGATGGTGACTCCACCACCTCCCTGGGAAACCATTCCAGAACTTCATCACCCTTTCTGTAAAAAACTTTTTCCTGATATCCAACCTAAATTTCCCTTGGTGCTGCCTGAGGCTGTGTGCTCTGGTTCTGTCAGTGCTGCCTGGAGAGAGAGACCAGCCCCACTTAAGCACAGGCACCTTTCAGGGAGTTTAGAGAGTGATGAGGGCAGCCCTGAGCCTCCTTTTCTCCTGAATCCAGGCTGGATTTGGATGAGCAGAATAAACCCAGCAGGAAAACCCAACAAAACCTCGCACCTGAACACCTCCATGCCAACAATGCCGGAATGGAAGTGACCCAGAGGTCACTCAGAGCTGACCCAGCCGTGTGTGTGTGACATTCCAGGCTGGGAGCTTTCCCTCCCTGCAGCTTCCCGAGGAGCTCAGCCTCACCTTTTCCGTTGATTTTGATCTTCATGGGGAGCTGCCGGGCCATGCTGAACAGGTTGCGCTGCAGGGCCTGCTGCACCAGCCGCTGCTCCTCCTCCGTCATGCGCGGCACCTTCTTCTCCGGGGGCTCTCCCGCCTCCAGCCTTTCCCTCAGCTGCTCCAGCGTGGCCGTCCTGGCTGCCACCGAGGCCTGCTGGCCACCCAGTGTCACCGGCACGGCCACGCGGCTCGGCATGGACACCGTCAGCGGCACGCCGTCACCTGGGCCACGAGGGGACACTCAGCCAGGGGACACTGCCAGCACCACAGCCCACATTCCCAGGCCATGTAGTTTGGCATGGACACAGTCAGGAAGGGTCACTCAGCCAGGGGACACTGACAGCACCTTGCTCCCACATTGCCAGGCCACAAAGTCAGGATGGGACACTCAACCAGGGGACACTGACAGCACCCTGCTCCCACACTGTCAGGAGGGGTCACTCAGCCAAGGGACACTGCCAGCGCCACAGTCCCACACTGCCAGGCCACACGGTCAGGAGGGGTCACTCAGCCAGGGGACATTGGCAGGACCACAGTTCCACATTCCCAGGCCATGCAATGTGGCATGGACACGGTCAGGAGAGGTCAACTCAATCAGGGGACACTGCCAGTGCCACAGTCCCACATTCCCAGGCCACATGGTCAGGAGGGGACACTCAGTCAGGGGACATTGCCAGCACTCTGCTCCCACACTGCCAGGCCACACAGTCAGGAGGGGGTCACTCAGCCAGGGGACACTGCCAGGAGGGGTCACTCAGCCAGGGGATATTGGCAGGACCATAGTCCCACATTCCCAGGCCACACAGTTTGGCATGGACATGGTCAGGAGGGGTCACTCAGCCAGGGGACACTGCCCACACCCTGCTCCCACATTCCCAGGCCACATGGTCAGGAGGGGTCACTCAGCCAGGGGACACTGCCAGGAGGTGTCACTCAGCCAGGGGACACTACCCGCACCACATTCCCACAGTCCCACACTCCCAGCGCCGCCATGGCCCTGCTGACCTTTCCTGAGGGCCGGTGAGACGCGGGGGTTGCCGGTGGCGCTGCCCGGCGCCACGCCGATGATGGGGAAGCGGATTTTGGGGGGGGACAGCAGGGAAGGAGGCCCCGGCGGGGATGGGGAGTAGCTGAACAGTGAGGAGCTGTAGCTGGGCCGCCGGCCCTCGCGCCGGTTGCCGTCGATGGCGGCCTGGAGCTCGGCCGGGGAGCTCAGGGACTTCTTCTCACACTCGTAGGCATAGAGGTACTTCATGTACCTGGAGAGGGACACACAGAGGGGGAATTCAGGTGGCACGGGGACAGGAGATGCATCCCGAGGTGCTCAGAGGGTTTGGGGTATTTGGAAGCATGGCTTGGTATGGATGTGGTCAGTGTTTGGAGGGAAATGTGCCATGGGATATTCCTGATCCCATTAGGGTGGGGGAATTTGTTCACAACTGGAATATCCTCAAAGGATCATCCAGAATTTCCTCACAATTGAAATATCAGCGATAAATCATGCAGAATTCCCTCACAAATGAATTATTCTCAAATAATCACCCAGAACTCCCTCACAATTGAAATATCAGCGATAAATCACGCAGGACTCCCTCACAAATGAATTATCCTCAAAGAATCACCCAGAACTCCCTCACAACTGAAATATTAACTATAAATCATCCAGAATTCCTTCACAATTGCAATATTGTCTATAAATCATCCATTATCCCCTCACAACTGAAATATCCTCTATAAATTACCCAGGATTCCCTCACAGCTGAAATACCATCTATAAACCATCCAGAATTCCCTCACAACTGAATTATTATTTATAAATCACCCAGAATTCCCTCATAACAAAAATATGGAATATAAATCATCCAGAATTCCCTCACAACTGAAATATCTTCTGCAGTTCATCCAGAATTCCCTCACAACTGAATTATTATTCATAAATCACCCAGAATTGCCTCACAACTGAAATATCATCTATAAATGATCCAGAATTCCCTCACAACTGAATTATTATTCATAAATCACCCAGAATTCCCTCACAACTGAAATATCCTCTATAAATGATCCAGAATTCCCCCACAACTGAAATATTTATAAATCACCCAGAATTGCCTCACAACTGAAATATCACCTATAAATGATCCAGAATTGCCTCACAATTGAAATGTTATTTGTAAATCACCCAGAATTCCCTCACGACAGAAATATTGAATATAAATCATCCAGAATTCCCTCACAACTGAAAAAAAGAGGCAAAAAGGCCAGTGCTGGAGGGAAGTGAGGTGAGAATTCCCTTCAGGAGCTCATTAGGCTGAGGCACCCTTTCTGCCTTTTACAGGCTTTACATTGGCCAGTCTATTCTAAATATTTACTAATAATACTACTACTAATCATTATACTATAATGAATATGATATATAATATATAAAAGATGTTATATATTATATTATTAGTAACAATAATATTTACTACTAATAATTTCCTATTAAGAATTACTAATAATAGGTATTTAGTAAAAGATATATCTAACAATAATAAAAAACTATCAACACAAACACGTAATAATAATCATCTAACAACAGCTAAATACCCAATAATAGCAAATATCCAACAGCAAATGTCCAATACCAGATAAATATCCAATAATCTTAATTGGATTATTCCTCTAATGTCCACTGGGATAATTGGATTATTCCAATTGGATTATTCCAATAATAGCCAATTATTGATATCATATATCAATATATACATTAAAAAGTATAGTGACTATATATAAAAAATTATAAATGCATTGATATATCAATAATATATGATTTATATATTACACATATAAAATATACATTAATTATATATTTATATAAATATAAGCATTTGAATTTATAAAAGATTTATATATTTTATATAATAAATATAATTATATTCATAAATATATAAACATTTATAAGTTTAAACATATATGTATTTATATCAATATGAATATATTATGTATTTCTTATATATTTATTTAAGAAATATAATATTTAAATTTATGTTTATTAAAATGTTTATATATCTTATATAAAATATAAATGTAATTATAAAAAATATAATTTATCTATTTAAATATAGACATACTTATAGAAATAGTATATATTCATTATATATTTACATAATAAATGTAAATATCTAATTTTATATTTATAAAATGTGTCTATATTATATACAAGTATATTTATAGATAATTTTTTATATTTAAATGCACATATTTATATAAATACATAGCATATATTATTATATATTTATATAATAAAATATTTAATTTTATATTTATAAAATGGTTATATATTTTATAAAAATATTACATTCATAAATAGCAAATATTTTATATTTAAATATACACATATTTATATTTATATAAATATTAATATTTTCTGTTTCTCTTTCCAAACTCACTGTGTGCGCAGGGTGAAGGCGGCGCTGGTGATGGAGGTGGGCAGGTTAAGGCCTTTGGTGATTTCCCTCCAGATCTTCTTGTTGATGATCTCCACCAGCCCACCCTTCTCTGTCACCAGCTTGTAGAGCATGTAGAGATCCAGGATCTGCTTGGCCATGATGGGGATCCTGTTGATGGGAGTTCCTGGAAAAAGGAACATGGACACAATGAGGGCACCACCTCGGGGGATCCAGCTCTGTCTGCCCTAAGAGGAGCAGATCCAGGATCTGCTTGGCCGTGATGGGAGTTCCTGGAAAGAAGGAACATGGACAGGATGAGGCCAGGGGCAGCCTGGGGGGATCCAGTTCTCTCTGCCCTAACAGGAGCAGATCCAGGATCTGCTTGGCCATGATGGGAATTCCTAAAAAAGGAACATGGAGAGGATGAGGGCACCAGCTCAGGGGGATCCAGCCCTGTCTGCCCTCACAGGATCAGATCCAGGATCTGCTTGGCTATGATGGGAGTTACTAAAAAAGGAACATGGACACGATGAGGGCACCACCTCAGGGAGATCCAGCTCTCTCTGCCCTAACAGGAAATTCAGGGAATTTGCAGCCTGGCTCGAGGCCTTTCCATGGAAAACCCTTTCCTGTGGGTAAAGGGAATTAGCAGAGCAATAAAAACCTGCAGCTCCTGGAATAGAAAGAAGGGAAGTTGGGACTATTGAATGGGTTTTATGAGCTCAGGGTTAAAATCCTTGGATAAAAATGCTCCCTCACCCCTCAGGATGTGCTATTTGCCTGGGAACAGCAGGAGCAAGGGAATCAGCACTGGAGAACATCTCTCCCCCACAGAATTCCATCCTCCCTCACACTTTCAACATTTGGAATAACCTGGAGATGTCACTGTCATATTTTTGAAAAATCCCTTTGCCAGGATTTCTTCTCCTGGGGAGCTGAGAAGCCTCAGAGAAGAATGAAAACAATAATTATCTGATTGCTTCTCCCTGTTTTGCTGCTTTGGAATGTGGTCTGGAGATTGTTTATCCAACAAGTGGTTGCTTGATTTGGTTTCATGTGAATTGTTTTGACTTAATGACCAATCACAGCCAGCTGTATCAGACTCTGAGGAGTCAGTCACCAGTTTTTGTCATCATTCTTTGTAACCTTCTGTGAGTTTTTATCATCATTCTTTGTAACCTTCTCTCTGTATCCTTTCTCTTTCTTTAATATAGTTTTAGTATAGCATAATATGATATAATAAAATAATAAATCAGCCTTCTGAGAACATGGAGTCAGACTCATCTCTTCACCTCATCCTGGGGACCCTGCAAATCCCACATGGAGAGGTAAACCAAAGCTGCTCCTTCCACAGAGATTCCAGCCTCCCACTCCTTTTCCCTCCAAAACAATTCCCTGACAAGGCCACAGCAGCTCTGAGCATCCCCAAACCAGCTCCTCCTCCATCCTTCCTGCTTGGTTCTGTGTATTTTGGGTTAATGTGGAAGAAAATCTGATTTTTAACCTCCCCCTTTTTGGCAGCTCCTGGAAGCGCCAACGCCCAAACTTGGGGGATTGAGGCACGGAGAGGAAGAAGGAATAATAAAAAGCTGAAGTGGCAGAGCTTTTATTTGGCCTGGGAAACTCTGTCCTGGATCAAAGGGCCGCCCAGCCCATCCTGTCCCCACAATGGGCAGCCCCAGCCTGGCAGGAAGGCTGGGAGGGGGGCAGGGGACAATTGTGGAATCCCCAGTCCCCAGGGGAGGCTGGTGCCACTGCTGGCAGCCCCTGATCTCCCCATTTATGGCCCTATAAATGAGTTTATTCCGTGCCATGAAAGGAGCCCTGCAGATGTCCTTGTCACACATCCAAGGGGGATGATTTTTTTTCCCCCCCCTGTCTTTTCTTTGGGAATCCCATTAGGCATTAGTAGCTTGTGGTGCCAATTCCCACAGGTTAACGAGATGCTGGATAAAACAGCCCAGTTTTGCAGCTCTAAAGGGCTAAAAACCTCACAGATTCAAAGTGTTTCAATTTATATCAATCCCAGCCTTGTCCAAGCAGCCCAAGGAGCAGATCCCACATCCCCTTCCCACATTTCAGGGGCACAGACCCCTCAGGGAGCACAGAAGGAAACCCAAACCCTCCAAACTCTCTGTGGCTCCATCCCTGCCTCCCAAAAATCCTCAATTTCCTCTGTTTTTTCCTGAGCATCCATTTTGTCTGGGGGTGACAGCAGCACTGGGAGTCAGGGCATGATCAAGTTACCTCCAGCTGTCACTCATCACCTGAGTCACACCCGCAGGGAAAACAGGGGAATATTTCCTTCCAAAGCCCCCAGGACACCCCAAAATTCCCCTCTTTTCATTAATTAGCCACAGCAGCAAAGCCTTTGCTGGGCTGGGGGAGGATGAAGCCCCTCTCACCCCAGTTTTCCCAATCCAATTAAAGGAATGGCATTAATTTGTCCAGCAGGGACTTTCATCCAGATGGAGAGTGAGAGGGTCCCTGTTTAGCTGAGTTTATAAATGTGTGTTTTTATCTAAATCTTGATTTAGCTGAGTTTATAAATGAGATTTTGGGGCACTTTGCTGTTTAAAGCAAAGCTGTCCTGGGGGTGCTGAGCTGATGGAATTATTGCAGCTCCTGGGACAGTTCTGCTCCTGCTGCAAAGTTTCTCAGCTGCACAAAGAAAATTTATTTTGGGGGAGGAAACCAAACTCGAGGTTTTATCTCAAGTGGATTAGTTTATATTCTGTGTAAACACATGTAGCTGAGTGTTTCTGTATAAAGCCCTGTTTAGCTGAATTTATAAATATGTGTTTTGATCTAAATCTCAATTTACCTGGGTTTATAAATGAAATTTTGGGGCACTTTGGTCCTGTTTAAAGCAAAGCTGTCCTGGGGGTGCTGAGGTGATGGAATTATTGCAGCTCCTGGGACAGTTCTGCTCCTGCTGCAAAGTTTCTCAGCTGCACAAAGAAATTTTATCATTTAACCAAACTCGAGGTTTTATCACAGTGGATAAATTTATATTCTGTGTGTAAACACACGCAGCTGAGTGTTTCTGTATAAAGCCCTGTTTAGCTGAATTGAAAGCTCTGCTTTAAACAGGACCAAAGTGCCCCAAAATCTCATTTATAAACTCAGCTAAATAGGGACTGATACAGAAACACTCAGTTAAATGTGTTTACACACAATACAAATTAATCCACTGAGATAAAACCTCAAGTTTGGTTTTCCCCCCAAAATAAAATTTCTTTGTGCAGCTGAGAAACTTTACAGCAGAACTGCTGTAAAGACAGAACTGCTCCCAGGAGCTGCAATAATTTCAGCACTCCTAGGACAGCTTCTCTCCTTCAGCTATGCTATAAACAGGACCAAAGTGCCCTGAAATTTCATTTACAAACCCAGCTAAATCGAGATTTAGATGGAAACACACATTTATAAATTCAGCTAAACAGGGCTTTATACAGAAACACTCAGCTGTGTGTGTTTACACACAGAATATAAATTTATCCACTGTGATAAAACCTCGAGTTTGGTTAAATGATAAAATTTCTTTGTGCAGCTGAGAAATTTTACAGCAGGGACAGAACTGTCCCAGGAGCTGCAATAATTCCATCACCTCAGCATCCCCAGGACAGCTTTGCTTTAAACAGGACCAAAATGCCCCAAAATCTCATTTATAAACTCAGCTAAATAGGTACTGATACATAAACACTCAGTTAAAGGCGTTCACACAGAATATAAATTAATTCACTGTGAAAAAACCTCAAGTTTCGTTTCCTCCCCCAAAATAAAATTCCCTTGTGCAGCTGAGAAACTTTGCAGCAGGGACAGAAGAGCTCCCAGGAGCTTGAATAATTTCAGCACCCCCTGAACACCTTCCCTCCCTCAGCTGCGCTTTAAACAGGACCAAAGTGCCCCAAAGTTTCATTTATAAACCCAGCTACACAGGGATTTATACAGAAACACTCATTTAGAAACTCTATTACACAAGACAAGACCTCGAGTTTGGTTTCCCCTCCCAAAATAAAATTTCTTTGTGCAGCTGAGAAACTTTGCAGCACGGACAGAACTGCTCCGAGGAGCTGCAATAATTTCATTTTCCACTGCAATAATTCCACTTTCCACTGCAATAATTCCACTTTCCACTGCAATAATCACATTTTCCACTGCAATAACTCCATTTCCCACGTGTTCCCCCAGCAGTGCCCCGCAGGTCCCGCAGTCCCGGTGAATTCCCGGTGTTTTCCAGAGGGATTTGGTGCCCCGGGGAAGGTGATCAAGGCAGGGTTTATTGGACAGCCCCAGCGCAGCCACAGGAAAGGCTGAAGGGCAGAGCCTGGCTGGGCAGGGCTGTCAGGGCTGTGATGGATTACTGTCATCTGGCAGCGCCAGGATTAATGAGCCCGGGGCCAGGGGGCAGAATTCCAGAGGGAAAGGTCAGAGCCGGGGCCACGGCACAAGCCTTGCTGCCTTTTGATGGTAAACTCATTTTACTGTACTGGCAAGGCTCCTGCCCCGAGCCAGGGGAAGATCCTGCTCTCTGTTTCCTCAGAAAATAACTTCTCCTGCCTCTCAGCAGAACCCCAGCCCCGTAACTTGGCTCATCCCAGCCCCAAAACTTGGCTTCCCAACTCCATAACCTGGCTCATCCCAGCCCCATCACTTGGCTTCCCAACTCCATAACCTGGTTCACCTCAGCTCCATCACTTGGATCATCCCAGCTCTGTAACCAATCTCATCCCAGCCCCATCACTTGGTTCATCTCAGCCCCATCTCCTGGCTCATCCCAGCCCCATAATTTGGTTCATCCCAGCTCCACAGCTTGGCCCGTCCCAGCTTCATCACTTAGCCCATCCCAACCCCATAGTTTGGCTCATCCCAGCCCCATCCCTTGGCTCACCCCAGCCCCATAGCCTGGCTCATCTCAGCTCCATCACTTGGCTCATCCCAGCTCCATCACTTGGCTTCCCAACCCCATAACTTGGCTCACCCTAGCTCCATCCCTTGGCTCATCCCAGCTTCATAATTTGGCTTCCCAACTCCATAACTTGGCTCTTCCCAGCTCCATCACTTGGTTTGTCCCAGCTCTGTAATTTGGCCTTCCAACTCCATAACCTGGCCCATCCCAGCCCCGTATCTTGGCTCACATTAGGCTCCATAATTTGGCTCATCTCAGCTCCATAGCTTGGTTCA